AAACAATTGTTTGAGAAGAGAAAACATCTGTCTAAACAGTGGCATTATGCAAGCCCCTGACCTTGGGAGAGAGGGAGGCCTAATAAAACAAAGCTAGCAGAGAGTAAAGAAAGCTTGCCTACAATTATTGCTACAAGTGATGCTGTCCTCTCATTGCTACACAAAGGACTTATGTTTCAATTGTGTCAAACTTTACTTACCAAATCCTCACATCTAAATAGGAGTGGATTTCTAGCATCTACTATCTGGACCACAATATCACTGAAAAACAAACATAAGATAGTCCAAACATTGTGAAGTGAAACAGATCACTGACCACATGATAATGGCAAGAGTAGCAAACATATGCCATGTATTAAGCATTTGACATATATTAATTTTTTAAGGTACTATTATCCCCAGTTTATATACGAGGAAACTGAGGCTTAGAGCAGTTCACTAACTTGCCTAAGGTCACCAGCTAGTAAGTAACAGGGCCAGATGGGAACCAAGCAGTCTAGACCAGAAATCATGCTCTTAACTGTAACATTCCACTGTTCTTCTGAGGCCTAGAGGGGCTCAGATGATGTTTCATAGCTATAACTTCCATTAAACTCTCCTGGAGAGATAAAGAGTATCACAAATACTTCCCTCCAAGGTGAAGTCTACTAAATATTCAGTCCCTAATCTGTACTCATGTTAAGGCCTCAAAAGAAAACTAATAAATCACTTGCTGACAGCTGCCACTGAAGCCAGTATCTTATTTAAGCCCAGGAATGACAAGGAAGAAAGCATACACTTAGCAAACAATCATCCACTGGTTGCAAGAATGTGTTTAAATGGCAAAAATACAAAACAGCAAAATATCAACTTAAGTTGCCACACTGAAGCAGGAATGACAAGTCCAATTTCTTCTATTACATATAAGAAAATGTAGCAGTAAGAAAACTTTCTGCAGTGATGGCAAGCCTCTCAAATCCCTCACAAAAGTAGTGGGGACAACAGAAACCCAGCATTGCAAGGAAAAAAACTGACTTCCCTGGGAGGAGCCTCCCCCTTCCTTCAGCCTCTGTGGCTAAGAAGACTGCCACTGGAAGGCAGTCACAGCTGGAATCAAGGAATCAAGGCTATCATTTAGAGCAGAGCTACTGACTATTAAAAGTGTATTTTCTTTCAGAATAGTTAAAATTTCAGCATAATCTTGTGATGTAAAGGAACTCACAGATTTGCTAATTTTTGACTAATTGTTTTTCAGTTCTTTAATTAAGCTGGTTTCAGTATTTCCTCCTTTAAGGTAATATTTCACTTTCGAACTGAATATTTACCAGTAAATGTAAAAATGATTGCAAAACATGGACAAAGCCTAATAAACTAAAACCACAATGTGCACAAACATGTCTACCCACCAAACATGTAGAAAGAACAATCAGCTTATAAACACCTGTAAGAAAAGACACTTCAAGACAGCTTGCTTCATGCACTGAGGATGCAAAGTGCCAACCATGTGGCAGGAAGGTTTATGCAATACAATGGGAGTGCCTTATCTTACTGGAGTACAGTGTTCCGCCCTCAGTGCCTCCACAGTTTCCTGCATTTCAATGACATGTTATACATCAAATCTTTTCTGATAATTGCTATTGGAATTAAAGGGGCAGATGGCTTAGCCAGCATGTTAGCAAACAGGAGACATCTGCCGCGGAGAACACATCAATAAATATTTCCCGTTAAAAGATGCAGCAGTAGTCACGTTATTAATAATATTTCTGTGTAACTCACATCCACGTCTATGTGATATAACTGTATTCCTTGAGTTAGAAACATGTTCTCTCTTATATATAAAAAAAGAGAAATATCACATAATAAAAATAAATGAGCAAGTAATACTGTAATCCAATTGAAACTAGAAGTTTCAACAGGTATAGGCTTATTCTGGGGAAATCTGTTGCTAATTTAGGGGCATAGAAAGTGTAAAAGGACCTTCCTGTTAAACTGTGCGTGGAGCCTGTAATTGGCACCAAGCTTCCCAAGATTTGCCTTGCCACTCTGACCTCCCATGTCCCACCCCAAGTGCCCTTTCTCTGCCCCCAGGAAGCAAAAGGGGGGGAAGTAAGCAAATTTTAAAAAAAAAATTGATATTTTCATCACCCTAATAAGAAATTTAAGTGACTTTTACAAGTTTAATCCAAGTCCCGTTTTCTTAGCAACAATGCTAAATGTTACCACATTCTTCTCTGAGAACCCTACTTGAAGCATCCTGTTTCCTAAGTTCTTACTAGGTTCATTTTATGGATTTCAAAAAAAAATACAGCTTGAAAGTTCCTTGTTAAAAAGCATCATTTCAAGTCCAAGATTCACTTATGGAGTTCCTGAAAATTCAGAAGCTCTTTGAGGAAAACAAAAACCTTTTAACTACACACCGAAGAGATGAGATTAGAGAAAGTTGATTCATCAACTTCTATCAGGAATTTTTCTTAGTGTTACATGAAAAAGAATGAAAATCTCAATTTTGTCAAAATCATTTTTTTCAGACCCCAATTTAAAAAAATTACCCCTCGATTTCCCTCAATCCTTATCAACTGCTCCTTCCTCTGCTACAACACAGCCCACTGCCTTTCTATCTGTAACAAACTTTGCCCTGTGCATTTTTACTAGGTATTGAGTTCTCTGAGTGCAAGGATTGCATCTCATTCATCTGTGTGCCTCTGGTGCCTGGTGCTTTGTCTGGCATTTAGGTGACCCCACAAAGGTCTGCTGAGACGAGCTTTAATATCTGCCTCCCCCCCCCCCCATGACATATATGCTCTTTACAGGTAGAAACCTACTCTTTTTCATATCCATATTTTCCATATTATCACCAGAAACTAATGTACATTTGCTGAAATAATTATATAGGTGCTTCAGAATTCATCTTATACAGAAAATGTTCATTATTCTCACATACTTATCGATGTACTCACATCTAATAGCAAAAACTCCCTATGTTTCAAAAGAAATATGCAATAGTATTATTCTTTCCGTTTTTGTAATTCTTCTCAATAGGCCTCTGCATAGCTTAATTCCCCATCCCCCAACTGCTAGACCCTGGGCCTATAAGCATATATCGATATTCAAATCTAATATAACACCATTACAATATCTTCATTACACAAAAGAAAATGGTAACTCACCTTCTCTCAATGACTCTCCAGAGCTGGCGCCAAAAGTCCAAATTTCGCTCAAATGGAGTCAATATCAGCTTTTGTTCCTCTTCTAGCCTGGTTTTTAAATGAGAAGTTTCTACCTTTGCCAGAGTATAATGAACAATTTTAAGCAGTATAAATGCTCTAATTTATTACATTAAAAAATAAGTACTATACACAAATACTAACAAATTATTTTTATATACCTCCTGTTAAGTCAATATAAAAACAATACATATTTATATCACATTCCACCAAATTCAAATTTTATCCTTAAGCTATTTAAGCCCTAGAAGTTTATCATACAAAGTAACATTTCTCTCTCACAACTCTTACTGAAACAATGCTCAGGAGAGCAGTGATCAACTTCAAGGCACCCCATGGCTAAAGAAGGGAATGAAAGGAGAAAAGGCCAGGAACTGAAGAGTGATCAACTCACCACCTTTGTGCAGAGGATGTACATGCACCCAGCAATGTTGTGTTTGCACACGCATCAATTTGCACTTGTACTAACTTGTGTAACACTCCCACTTCCCTTTTAATGTCATTAAAACTTCAAAATGCAAATAGCAATGTGAGCATGACAAAATACCAAAATTCAGGATTTCAAGGCAAATCTTCAGAGTCTAATACTCACCAGACAAGCTGGCGTCTCCATTCTAGAAAGTTATCTTTCTCTGCTTGTTTGAGTTCTTCTGGGCTAGTGTTTTTGTCCCACTTTGGTCTGAAACAATCATAAAGGGGAAAATATTCCACATACAAGTTACCAAAATAAAACAGGGAATTTGAATCTAATAATGGCAGTTGAGAAAAGGAAGAAGGAAAAATGTGAACACTGACTTAAATTTATACTTAGCGGCCTTGTATGCTTTGTAACGTTCTCAATTTTTTTTTTTTTTTTTTTTTTTGAGACAGTCTTGCTCTGTCACCCTGGGTAGATAGAATGCAGTGGCATCATCGTGGCTCACTGCAACCTCAAACTCCTGGGCTCAAATGATCCTCCTGCCTCAGCCTCTCGAGTAGCTGGGACTATAGGTGCATGACACCATGCTGGCTAATTTTTCTATTTTTAGTAGAGACAGGGTCTCACTCTTGCTCAGGCTGGTCTCAAACTCCTAAGTTCAAGCGATCCTCCCGCCTAAGCCTCCCAAAAACTTACAGGTATGAGCCACCGCACCCAGCCCATTCTAAATTCTTATTCAACTCACCTCCTTGGTATACACAAGAATTGTTTGTTTTCTTCATGGAGCTTCTTAATTCTCTGGCTCTCCTCAAAAGACAACAGTCCAGTTCCAACCGCAGGGAACACGATGTTAATGTTAAGTTTTTCTGTTCAAAGAAAAGAAAAGTACTGTTAAAGTGCCTCTGTTTTCATTAAAAAATAAAATCTGGTATAGACATTAAAGACATCTGTACTCCCATGTTCAATGCAGCATTATTCACAGTAGCCAAGATAGGGAATCAACCTAAGTGTCCACCAATGGATGAATGGAAAAGAAAACGTGGCATATGGTATATATACAATGGAACATTATTCAGCCTTAAAAAAGGAAATCATGACATTTGTGACAATATGAAGGAGAACATTATGCTAAGTAAAATAAGCCAGGCATAGAAAGACAAATACTGCATGATCTTACTTACATGTAGAATCTAAAAAAGTCAAGCTCACAGAAGCAGAGAGAATGGTGATTACTCAGGGGTAGGGGAAATAGGAAGATGTTGGTCAAAAAGTACAAAGTTTCCACTTAGGCAGGATAAATAAGTTCTGGAGATCTAATGTACAGCATGGTAAAACTATAGTTAATGAAACTGTATTATATACTTGAAATTTGGTAATGGGTATGTTAATCACATGGTTGTGATAATCATTTCACAATGTATACATATAACCAAACATTGTATTGTACACCACAACTATATAGAATATTTAGTTGTCAATTATACCTCATTAAAACTGGGAAAAAATCCCCCCAAATAAAAAACTACCAAAAAACGAAATCTGAAATCATGTTGTGCACTTGCTTAAAACCCTGTAAAGCCTTTCTTAACCCTTTATTCTCTCCAGAGTCTAGCCCTCACCTACCTCCTCAGTGTCTGTGCTCATGACTTCCTGTCCTCCTGCACCAGCAAAGCCAAACTTCTAGCCATTTTCTGAACAAAGTTGGCTGCTGCTTCACATCTTGGCTTGAGTCATCTGCCTACCTGTATAAAAGGTCCTGTATCATCTCACCTGTTCTAACATCTACTCATTGTTCAAGACTCAGCCCCAGGGTAAGATTTTCTGACCCTTAGCCTTCCTTCAGATAGAAATGATACCTAACTTCATCTTTTATGACTCCATTGTCTTCTGCAGACTTCTTTCATAGCACATAAAACAAAATCTTGCAGAAACAAAATTTGTCTTTGAATTCAACAATGTACTCTGACTAATCAGTACAATGTCTGAGAGTAGCTGGTGTCAATAAAAATATTCTGAATAAATGAACGATTTGCTAAACAATGTAATCACATTTATAATAATAAGAGTAGAAAGGATAGTTTACAATACTAACTGTGTGCCAGGTACTTTTCTAAATGCTTAGAACACAAACAAAATAACAACAGAGAACAATGACTAAAACAAATTTCATGCATGGAAAAATTCACTATGTTAACTGGTGCTTTAAAATACAAGCCAAATTGCCTAACTAACAGCAGCAGACCCAGGATTTTGCCTCTACTAGTGGTATTAGAAAACATTTTCTGGAAAATGGTGGTACTATCCACCATAATGTTGACTGGTTTTTTTTCTATGAGAGATTGAGTTTCTTGCACTTGACATGATGAAATATAATCTGAATATTTTAGAGCTGAATTTAAAAATTGTGGTACATCTGTACCTCATAGCTGGAGTTCAACTGGATTTTCCCATACTGCTTCTGGGATATATGCCTTTGAGCTAAAGATAGCCCATTTTTTGAGTTTAGTGGGGTTCTCCAAACACTTCCAAGCAGACTTGTATCTAGTCAGCAAGACAGAAACATGACCAGTGTCACATGCACTCAGCAATAAGCAACTCACCAGCTGTGAACTCTGTTCCTGCAAGTTCTGCAGTTGCAAGGAAGTCATCAAGGGAACTCTGTTCAGTCACTGACTGAAGATTAAGACGACCCCAATCATAGCCATCATTGAGTTCACTTGTATGCAACTATGAATGAGACACAGGGTCATAAATACAGCTGCTCTCCACATTCAAACAAGCTCCAAACTTCCTTGAAACTATTCTGTGGTCTTGAGGGTGGTTACAGCCCCTTTAGAATCAATAAAACTAATAACGGTTAACATTTAAATGAGCACTTTCTCACCTCATGATAGGCACTCCCCCTTCATCATTTTGTTAATTTTCAAAAATTTTTGAAGTAAATTTTATTCTATCTCCATTTTACTGATGGTAAAATGGAGGCTTAAGTAGACAAAATATCTTGCCTATAATATATAATAGCAAACTAAGTGCTAGGGGTAGAATTTGAACCCAGACTGTATGACTCTGCGAGCCACAGTTAGTCAATTTTTTTTAGAGTCCCACAAAAAGAAATACCTTTTACAGAGCAACCCAAAGGTGTGTAACACACACAGTGATACAAATGTGCAAGTACTTTAGTATAGTAAAATGGAAACAAAAGAATCCTGAAACAAAAGTTACCTTATTACAAGTAATACACTCTGATATTTCCTATTCTATTATACTGGAGAAAATGCTAGCTGTAAACTACTAAATTGATTTCCAGACACAATCCAGAGTTTGATAAACACCATCGTAAGCTATATCCTTAATACAAGTACAAATAAATGAAAAAAAAATTAAGGACCAAAAGTTTACATAGTTTGCCCTAGGTTATATAGAATCAGCAAAAATTAAGGATTAGAATCAAATTCTTTAGAATTCATATTCAATCTTTCCACTATTTCCTAAAAGCTACATTAATGACAAGTTGCTTCAAAATCAATTAAAATTACCAGTAATCTAATGTTTAGAGTAACTCTGATCTGATGAATACTCATAGACACTGTATGCTGTTTACTCTGCAGACTATACAGAAGTCAGATGGTGCGACAGTGGCACATGGATAGGTGGCACCAGATACATACTTAACTTTAGCACGGGATCTGAGAACTCAGAACTTTCTCAAATACCTGGGCGAATGAATAGTGAAAACGATGACCAAAATGATTAACACAAGTCAAACCGCTTCATTCATTTTTTAAGGATCCTACTATGACCTTCCTTAGATCTAGGGAAATATTAGGTCCTGTCACACTTTGGAAATGAGTGGTTCATCTGTGAGCTAAACTACTAGGAGAAACAACAAACGTAAAGCAGGAATTTCTGGTAGCAACCAACCGCTTCTGGAGTATCAATTCTTTGAACAAATCAATACAAAAATAATTTTTGTCTTTGTCCTGCTCAGATACTCTCAAGCGCTCCCACGGCTTTTAGGGCAAAAATCAAACGTATAAGACATTCTGGTATTCAAGACTTCATATGCCCAGCCCTCCTTTCAAGCTTTTACCTCTGTGCTCTGTGCCTTGCTAGGAGGAGGACATGCTTCTTGGCCTGGCAGAAATTTCTACTCACCCTTCAAAAACCCCGGATTTGGCGTCACTGACTTTTGACCCCTGCAGCACTCAGGCTCTTAAAACTAGACTAGAAAGGGTAAGAAAGATGAAGTGTCTGTCTTACCCAGGAATCAGTGTTACGGTGGCGATGGCTTCGCTGAGTCTGATGGCGGATAAGGGCCCGTCCCAGAGACCCACCACCCGGCGCTCTCCTCCGGCCCATAGCAACGCCGCGGTCCCAAAAATCGCTTAGCGCGTGCGGTTTCCGGTATTCATAGCTCGACCCCCGGAAGTGACGATTGAGCGAGCCCAAATAATTCAGGCCCGAAGTTGAGAGGGAAAAACGGAATGATTTGTTCCAAAATGCTCTTTCTATATTTTGAGTTTGCCAGTATTATATAAATAAATGTGAAAGTTGTTCTGGGAAATTTCCTATAGATATATTTACGAATGTCTCAAATTTTGATAGAATGATTGAGTTAAAACAATGGTACATTCCGAATTTGTGCGCCGGTCTCTAGCGTCCTGCGAAAAACTAGGGCACCTGGAAAACACGGCCGTTCATAGTCGCGGCTAACCCCGCCTCCCGCTGTTTTCGTCAGGAGGAGGTGGAGACTGGGAAGAAAAGTGTTTCCGTGGCGTGAGGTGGGGGACAGTTTCCCAGCGCGTCCCATCGTGTGGCTTCGCCGAGCCCAGCAAATAAATATTTTTTGTTTACCTAGTCTCCCCCAGCTGCGAACTGGCAATAAAGTCTCCGCCTGGATGGGAGTACGGAATGGGAGGTTAAATAATATTTCCAGAACTTGGCAATGTTGCAAGGAAAGCCAACAGGGTCTCACTTATGCTTTATTTCAAATAGAAAATGTTTAAACAGCTCTAGTTACAATTTTATTAACATTTCCCTATAATTAAAATTAAAGTGAAAACAATGGGCCGGCTCCGCTCCTAGAGGCCTGGGCTTGTATTCCTCACTTTATCGTTAGATTTCCCAAATGGGAGTATAAAGTCAGTTTAGAGTGGCGTGTATGCAGGTAAACTACGTTCTCATGAATTCGAAGAACCACCTCACTGTTATGCAGAGAGAGAGGAAGCAGCTTTCCCAAATCATAGATCGAATATGTGCAGTGTCAGGAATCAAACCCAAGTCCTGTCACTATCCTATACATTCCTGGGGGTAGAGTGGGGAATGAGGGTTGTTAGCATGTATTTTAGAAATCACTGGGTGATATGCATATGTTACCTAGCATAGCTTGATTTAGTTATTCCACAATGTATACATACATCAAAACATCATGTGCACTGTAAGTAATGTATAACTTGTACTTGTCAATTAAAAAAGAAATTATAGGATCAAGAATCCATTTAACCCAGGGTTTCTCAAACTTAATGTGCATAGGAATCCCCAGGGAATCTCATTAATATGCATATTATGATTCATAATGTCTTGGGTGAAGCCCAGGACTCTCTAGTTCTACCAAACTTCCAGGTGATACTCATGCTACTGGTCCATGAACACTTTGAGTAGCAAGCGTAGTCTACTCCCTTCTGGTACAGATGAAAACACTGATGTGGACTGGCTAAAAGTCAGTCACAGCAAGTTAGCAGCAGGCAAAACTGAGACCATACCCCACCCATTTCTGAATTCCCTGCCAAGCGCTCTGTGTGCTACCCCTCAGTGCTGACTCTTAACTGAATTGGAGTGAAGCACCCAAGGGATTGCTAACAAGCTATATAGTAGTTGGCAAGGCTTTGAGAAGACAGTGCTCCCAGGTCAGTGAAGGAATGCATCAGAACATGATTTCTCCCATTTCCCTATTTAGAAACAGTATGTATTTAAAATCGCTGAATACAATCTCCAGAAGTAAGATATAAAGAAGACCGATGGAATAGAATTAGCAGATAGCCCCTGGCACTCTCTCAGGAGATGAGTGGTTAAAGATAAAACTAACTCATGAAGTAAGATTAAGTGGATTTTACATTAAAAATAATAACAATAATAGGAGACAATATAAAGAAACTTGCCATCTCACTCCTAGGGCTCAATCAGGCACTTGGGACTTCACCATAGTTTCTTTTTCTAGATTTTGCCACCTCCAGAAATTTTGAGAAAGCTAATACTTTGGGTTTCTATTGTCATTCTTCTAAGGGCTCAGTCTTGACCAAATAAAAATAAAAGTAATAATTTAATCAGGACTGGTGAGGAGTCAAAAGGACATTGACACTGTAAGATAATTAGCAGCAACTATTCTTAGCTGACAAATAAGTAAAGCATAGATAATTCTAATATTTTCCCCAAGACATTACTCAAATCTACCAATTACGAAAGAGCTGAGTCTCAATTTTCTTATCTGGTTAATGGGGATAATAATAATTCCTGTCCTGCAGAGTTAGCAAATGAGATAGTTCTGCAAGTTCATTGCCTAGTAGTCTGTGGAGGTACCAACTGGCACAGCTAAACAAACTTTTTTCCCAGCAACTGAGCAATGAATGTGAGAACCAACTGGATAATTGTTCAATGAGAGGGCAAGGAGGAAGGGAATTGAGGGTGTTGATGAGACAAGACCATGGGATCCAGATTATGAGGAATGAAGTGAGATTGCATGGGAAATGATGATGATGGTGGTGGTGAAGGGCGAAGCAAGGTGCTGGCTGCTGCCCCAGTGAGGGAGTTGCAAAGATGAATCAGTCCAGGTCACTGCCCTCCAACCGCAGAAGCCATTCCACCCACACATTTCAAGCATCAACACAACCCAGCCAAACTCCCCTCACTGCTTTGTCACACCAGTGGAAACACTCATTCACCAGGCTTGTCTGAAATACTGGTCAGATTTTCCCAATTCCCCACATAGCTGAACCCTTCCGTTTAAGCCACTATTCTCTGAATTGCTGACCCCTGGAGGAGGCTGCATTGATTTGGGGAACAAAACAAAGCCTCATATTCAGCTTCCAAATAGTGACAAAGGGAGTATTCCTCATTCAAGGTGTTGCATAATGCTTGAATTACCACGTCTAAACAAATACAAGCCCTGAAACAAGTTACATGCCCTGAAACCCACACCCAAAACCAAACTTTGGAGTAGCTTTCAGCTCTCCAATTCCACACTGTTGTGCCTCTGGGCTCCACATCTGTCTGGGGAGGAAGAAGGAAGAGTGGGTGGGTTTCTGTTTTGTTTTTCCTTTCTCCTTGGTCAGAAATGTGTCAGTGGCAGAAAAATTGTTCCAAGGCAAGTTTGCAGCTCTGTGCCTCCTTCTCTCCCATACTTTACACCACCACCTTCTACAAGGACATTAAAGCAGTTTGCATAAGGCTGGGAGTTGTGAAAATAAAAGTCTGGCAGTCTCTGCAGAGTGCCAATGAATCAGTAGTGAAACTCCCCATGATTATCTGCCATTCTCAGTTTATCCCTATTGAAAATGGGTGGATTCTCACACATAAGTGAGTTTTAGTAATTCGGCAAACTCTTTTAATTTTGTTTTTAATTGACACATACTAATTATACATATTTATGGGGTGCAATGTGATGTTGTGATACCTTGTGTAATAATCAAATCAGAGTATTTAGCATATCCATCACCTCATACATTTATAATTTCTTTGTGTTGATAACATTCAAAATCCTCTCTTCTAGCTGTTTTGAAATAAACAATACAATATTGTTAACCAGTCACACTACTATCAGTCGACATTTATTGGTGGTTATTATAAATGATTAATTTGAGTCACTGCAATCAAACTGATTGTTTGCCTGTACAAGTTATTGTGCATGCAAGAGGAATGTAAAAGACCTCTTGCTTGGGTGACACAGGCTACGGCAGCAGTACCCAACCTTTTGGCACAAGGGACTGGTTTCATGGAAGACAATTTTTCCACAGACCAGGGTGGGAGGATGGTTTCAGGATGATTCAAGCGCATTACATTTTTTGTGCACTTTATTTCTATTATTATTACATTGTAATGTACAATGAAATAATTATACAACTCACCATAATGCAGAATCAGTGGGAGCCCTGAGCTTGTTTTCCTGCAACTAGACAGTCCCATTTGGGGGTGATGGGAGACAGTGACACCCAAAGTGTGTTGTTTATGTCCGGTCTACTCCGTAATCTCATTTTGGTTGCTGTCACTGCAAAAAAACCCTGCTTCACAAAGATAGGAAGTAGGTTTTTCAGTGCTTTTGTGGCAATCTCAGGATATTCCGCCTTGACTTTAATCCAGACGTATGGAGAGTTGAAGTTGTCTCAAACGTACTTTTAAGGCCACCGTCATTTGTGATCTTAAGCAGTTGATTCTCTTCTAGCATGGATGAAGTTGATTCACCTGGCATATTCACAAATGGGTCTTGGATCCATTCCTTCCCAGGTCAGGGGTCTTTTGTGGTTGAGAAGTAAGCTCAAACTCTTTTGAAAGCTGAGATAGGTGATCATGCACCAGCTGGGAGAAAGAAGGCCCTGACTCAGTCTCTTTCAAAATCTCTGCTAATGTTTGAAACATGTCAGAAATCCCAATGGTCACTTGTCGCCCCCATAATTCCAGTTTGGCTTTGAATGCAGCCACTTTATCTGCCAATTTGAACACAGTTGTCATTCTCCCTTGAAGTGACAGATTGAGTTCATTGAGCAGGTTGAATATGTCACACAAGTAAGCAAGTTTTGCAACCCATTCTGTGTCACTGAAACGTGTTGCCAATGGTGACTGTTTTTCTAAAAGAAATTTCTGGAGCAGCTCTCGTAACTCAAAAACTCTGGCCAGTGATCTACCTTTAGAAAGCCATCTCAACTTCTGTGTATAAGAGAAGACATGTGTTCAGGTGTGGTGGCTTACACCTGTAATCCTAGCACTCTGGGAGGCCGAGGCAGGAGTATCGCTTGAGGTCAGGAGTTGAGACCAGCCTGAGTAAGAGTGAGACCCTGTCTCTACTAAAAATAGGAAAAACTAGCTGCGCAACTAAAAAAATTAGAAAAAATATTAGCAAAAATAAAATTAGCTGGGCATGGTGACACATGAGGCTGAGGTAGGAGGATGGCTTGAACCCAGGAGTTTGAGGTTGCTGTGAGCTAGGCTGATGCCACAGCACTCTAGCCAGGGTGACAGAGTAAGACTGTCTCAAAAAAAGAAAAAAAGACAAGACGTGTGTGCTCTGTGTCCATGTCCTCACAGAGCTGGGCAAGCAGACATGAGTTAAAAACATGTGCTTTAATGTGGTTGATAATTTTAATCACATCCTGCTAAACATTGTTTAGTTCAGGGAACATTTTTTGGCTAGCCAGCATTTTTCTATGGATGACAC